GATCAATCATGATAGAGGTTGGGGCCCTTTATGTGTTTTGTGCATTTCATCCCATATTAAGTTGCACACTTGGCTTCTTTGGCCATCATGCATTAAAATGCGTGATTGATGGTCCGAGGGTCGAAAACCATACTCCTTTGAGTCTTAAACATGATAAGGAGGGTGGTTGTGCAAACATTGTTTTGAAAATGGATTGCCATGCTCTGTTTGCTCTCTGCTGCAACAAAACAGGATTCTGTAGAAAGAGGTGGCCGGTTGGCCATCTTCAGTGCCGGCTAGCTATTCATTGTTGGCCGAGAGCCTCACACATGGTCGATGACCAGTTTCCCATGGCTGGTGGCCTTGCCTTTTGGCCGGTGACCTTCCACAGTGCTCAGAAGGTGGTTCAGAAACATCCTGGAGACTTGTGCAGTTTTCAGAAGTGCAGAGCAGTGTAAATAGAGGCAGCATGAGTATGGCGATGGATTTCTGAGCGAAACCGAACATGCATGCATTCATCCCTCTTCCCGAGGCCTCTTAACTGCTTTCTTAGCTTAATTACTTCATTTAATTAGTTAAGTGTTGTAAATAATTAATTAGCTTGTTAGTTAGTTAATTTGTATTATTCTTTTGGACCCTCCGAGAGAGGGCAATGTTGTAATAAGTGTGCGTGTGTGTGATGCATGTCTTCCAACCCCACGTTTTTCTCAATTTTACTTACCTGCTTTGATGGTTAGTTCTAGGTCATGTTTTGATTAGCATATTTATGCTCGCATGCTTGTATCCATTCATCTGTCTTGCATGCACCGGGCTCGGCACATCATGCTAACTGCATTGTATTTTAATTCCAATTTGAATACATGTATCAAGTTGCATTTCACATGACATCTTAGAATAGCCGAGCCTATTTCTAGTTGCATTTTGCATGTATTGCATTAGCCATATTGACATGAACTAGGATCATGCATTTGATTACTAACTAGTTTCTGTTTTGGCTTGGAGTACTAGGTAAGCATTTAGGTTTTAGCATCCTTGCATGTGTGTGAGTATTGTCATGACAGCATGCTTACCATGAGGCTATTTGCGTATGTGATATAACTGCCTGAATGCCTGTGGGTGAAAGTTGGATTGCTTGAATTGAGACAATTCATTGAAATCTGTATTTTAGCCTACTTGCGAGTAGCAAAACTCAAACCATTTTTCCGAACAAACGGATATGCAATGCTTTGTTCCAAATTAGGCGATCTAGTCTATACTTGCGTGTTGTGCGCATCACATAGTAAATTCTAGCTAATTAACCAGAATAAGAACACATATATTTTCAAAACTCGATATCATGCTTAGTACAAGCCGATCTTCGAATCGGGTGAGCGGGGGTACTCATAACTGACCTTCCCCAATCGTACCCAAGTTCTCGAGCCGAGGCAACTTTGGTGATGACAGACACGTGGCCTTAGGCAACAAGTCAGGGTTTCCTAAATTCTCCAAAAATAAAATATTTAGGTGACAACTATGTATCTGGCAAAGCAGTCCATATTTGGCACTTCTTTCTAAAAATCTATTTTTCAAAAATGATTTGCCAGATTTGGACTCTTGGTGATTTATCAATCTCACATCACACGTTGTGAGGTCAGATTAAGAACCGTGACAATTTGAGTCCGAACTGTAGTGAGCCCCAATTGAACAAAACGGGATCTCCCTCCCGGGACGTTCGGGGACGTCTACAGCTTTTGGCGACTCTGCTGGGGATTTAGAGAACTTGACTTGAACTCATGATATCTTGTTTTGACTACACTTATGTGTTTCTTTACATTGCATTTGCATTGGTGTGCCTAAGTCACAGTGTTTGCCGTCTGCTATTCCTGAACTGTTTGCCGGAGGCTCGCTTCGAGAAACGTACTATAAGGCTGACCGGTTACGGGCTCTGCCATGATGGGAACACAAACCCCGGTTGTTACCGGGGTACCCTTTTTGACCATTCGACCTAGTGCATATTCGGAATCCATAGTGACTATTCCAAACTAGGATAGGTTGCTTACCCGATTATAGGTTGTTTGAAACCGCTGCGTGTGTAGTGAAACCATAGTTCCTAACAAAATAGGACAGGGAAACCCTATCCCAACATAGGGTGTTTTTGGTTCTCACTTGCTTGCTATGTGCTTTTAGAGTTGGCCTCTATAGGGAATGCACGTATCAGTTTGCAAGTATGGGTATCAGGCCTGCGGGCATCGGTATTTGAGAATCAGTTATATCTGTGGGTATCAGATTCAGTCTTGAGAATCAGTTAGTACCTTTTAATAATTTTAAAGTAGGATTTAATTTTGTGTATGAGAAGAGTAGAATATTTAGATTTAGAACTCAGCAATCATAACTATCGTCTTAACATAGATAAAAATAAATTTCGCTGTAATTTTGAAGGTACTTTTACACATCAATTCCATAGTGAACATAATTCTCAGCTAAATAGTATTATAGATAATCAGATTAATTTTGCAGAAAACATTAAAATTAGTAATCTCTTTATTTCATCTATAGACCATCTTCGTAATACTCGTAGTATAATTAAAAATCAAGATAAAAAATTAGATTATATCCAAAACCAGTGTAGTTCAATCCTACAAAAACGAATAGAGTCTAATTTAGAAAATTTTCCCACAAAGCTAGAAATAGAAACTCTAATTTCAACCATAAATACTAGCAGCTCAAAGCAAATAGAGTTAGAATTTAAGCAACTAATTGAAAAAATTCATAGTCAGATAAATCAAATAGCTAAACAAGTAGAACAGATCAAACAAATTCAAGATAATTTAAAACAAAAATTAGAAATTTTAGAACAACTAATAAGATCTTAGTTTATGAGTAGTGATAAAAAAGTTAATAGAGACTACCAGGTTATTTTAAAACAAGCAGAAGACTTTCATAATAACCCAGAAGGAATTAGTAGCTATCAGGGAATAAATCAGTCAGATAAAATATCAGTAAGACAAAATAATATAGAAATTTTATTTCTTATCCGATTGTGTGAAAAATTTGAAGAACTATCAGAACAATTACACAGTTTAGAAAGCCGTTTAACTTCCTTAGAAAAAATAATACTTCAAAAAGGAAAAGGAATAAAAGGACAAGTAAACAAACCCCAATCACAGATAAACGAAGAAGATATAGCTAGATATTTTGAAAAGCTTAAATTACCAAAGAAACCTGTTTGTAGAACTTACAGAAAATAAAAATGTTTAAACAGCTAGTAAAAGGAAATGGCAGCAAAAAGTGTAATGAGAATGAAGATGTTAAAATGGAAGAATTTATAAATGTAAAACAATAGATAAAAAAATTTAAGAAGGAAAAGTTAGAGTTAATTCCAGCTAAATATGTGTATAAGCTAGGTAAGATTCATAAAAAACAATATCTATTTAAACACTATGGTGAACAAATGATTAGTGTAACTCATGAAGATGAAAAAATAGAGCTAAATTTAATAGATGGAGAGAGTTATAAATATGCTGCAAATGAACACCTCAAAATGACTCACTTAGGATTAATTGTGGTAGGAGTTAAGGCTTTAACTAGAGAAAATTTAGGAACTAAAGTTTTTGTTTGTCTTTATGATGATAGGTTTAATGATGTAAGACAAAGTATTTTAGGCAGCTATGAATTAGATATGAATTCAAAAGGAGAAATAGTTTATTTTATACCAGATTTCCTACTACCAACCTTGACCTTTCATAAAAAGATAAAAATACGCATAAGAAGTAAAGGATACAAAATGAAAAAATGAAAAAATAATTTATTAATTTGCACAGGATTTTTAGGCTTAGCAGTCTCAGAAAGCAATACTCATTATAGACTTACAAATGATCAAATAGTTAAAATATTAGGCGCAAAATGAATGATGGCACTGCCAGCTAAAAAATATAATTCTGAAGATAATGCAGCACTAGATTGGAATTTAGGAGATTTTCTAGGACAAAAAAGGTTAGCCCCTCAAGATAACTTATTATATCAAAAAGTAGATGGAAGCTATGTAGTAAGATTTACTCAATATACGTATGTAGTACTAAAAAAATCTAAAGATGATGAATTTAGCAGTGTAGATAGGGAAGAAAATCAAGATAATCATAGTGACATAAATTAGCTTTATGTAATGACAGAAGAAAAAACAATATCACAAAATAAGATATATAGTATTGATGAGATAAATTTGGAAAATTTCACCCTAAGTGATATGAATAAAATATTAAATACTAGATACTTCGAATATATAGCTAGAGGAGATACCCATGATGCAGGCCCGGTCCTGAGATTTTCAGGGCCCAAAGCTGATTATCAACTACTAAATTTTTGGGGCCCTTTCACATTTTTTTTTATTGAATGAAAAAAAAAAATTAAGGTAAAGGACAAAAAATTTATATTAAAATCACAAAAAAATACTTAACATTACATTATAACAACTAATAAGTATCACTTGATCCTCGTTCTTCTTGTATTTTTAGAAGCAAATAAATCAATCATACTTGCATAATCTAGTTTTTTTACAAAATCATTTTCAATGAATAACAATGCTAATCCATTCAATCTTTCTTGTGACATGGTTGATCGAAGGTAATTTTTGATGATTTTTAACTTTGAAAAGCTTCTTTCTCCCGATGCAACTGTAACCGGAATAGTCAAAAATATCCTATAAGCAACCCATGAATTTGGGAAACAATTTGCCATCAACTGCAGATGATTGAGCACTTCAATTGGTTTATTGACTTCTTTTGGCAATCTCTCTTTCAA